TACGCCTTGGATACGCATGGAAATGCTATAAATATTCCAATAAATCATAAATAAACATCAATATCACTAAATAAGACATAAATGGACTATTTATGCATAAAAGTAGCATGTTTTAGTGGCTTTTAGGAAAAAAACATATCATAATCAATATACGGGAACAAAAACATACTATCTAATAAAGTACTTAATTCAGTTCCAATGTACTTGCTTGTTTTATTCTAAAAATTAAATTAAAATTAAGATAAGTAAATATGTAAAAAGAAAAATTAAATGGATTTATGGACATAATAGATCAAGCAATTATTTTGCATGTTTCATTCTAACTTTCTAAAAACTAAATAATTATTTATTTTTATTCAAATAATTATTTTGGATGCTTTATTCTAAAAATTAAATTAAAAATAAGAAAAGTAAATATGTAATAGAAAAATCGAATGGATTTATGGACATAATAGATCAAATAATTATTTTGCATGTTTCATTCTAATTTTCTAAAAACTGAATAATTATTTATTTTTATTCAAATAATTATTTTGGATGTTTTATTCTAAATATTAAGTTAAAATTAAGAAAAGTAAATAATTATTTTGGATGTTTTATTCTAAATAATAGATCAATTAATTATTTTGCATGTTTCATTCTAATTTTCCAAAAACTGAATAATTATTTATTTTTATTCAAATAATTATTTTGGATTTTTATTCTAAATATTAAATTAAAATTAAGAAAAGTAATATGTAATAGAAAATTGAATGGATTTATGGACATAATAGATCAAGTAATTATTTTGCATGTTTCATTCTAATTTTCTARAAWCTGAATAATTATTTATTTTTATTCAAATAATTATTTTGCTTGTTTTATTCTAAAAATTAAATTAAAATTAGGAAAAGTAAATATGTAACAGAAAAATTGAATGGATTTATGGACATAATAGACCAAGTAATTATTTTGCATGTTTCATTCTAATTTTCTAAAAACTAAATAATTATTTTTCATGTTTTATTCTAAAATTTAAATTAAAATTAAGAAAAGTAAACATGTAACAGAAAAACTGAATCGATTTGATCTATGGACATGGTAGATCATCTATAGATCTACAACATACTCAGCCTATAGGGTTAAATTACATAAAATTAAAGAAATTATAAATATTTTTTTATTCCGAAAATTAATATATAAAAATTCAATTATTTATAAAAAAATCAATTGATCTATGGACATGGTAGATTATCCACAAATCTACACCATACTCAGCCTATAGGGTTAGATCACATAAAATTAAAGAAAATTAATTTAGAAAAAAAATCAATTGATCTATGGACATGGTAGACCATCCAAAGATCTACAACATACTCAGCCTATAGGGTTAGATCACATAAAAAAGAAATTATATATTTTTTATTCCGAAAATTAAAAAAAAAAATAAGAAAATCAATTATTTAGAAAAAAATTCAATTGATCTATGGACATGGTAGATCATCCATATCTACAACATAATCAAATTCTAGAGGTAGATCACAAGAAAAACCTAAAAATTTCTTTTTTTTTTCAGATTTTTTATTATTCTGGAATTTCTTCAAATATTCACAAATATTTACATATAGCAGCAAAATAAGTGGGATTTTTTGCTCAAGAATAACAGATCAACATACACAAAGATGTTTTCAAGCATCCAAACTAAAAAAAACCAAAAACATTGGCTGGAAATGTAAAAAAACTTGAAAAAAAACTTACCTATTTTCGCTACTTTTTAAACAACCTTGAAAACTTGTTGAATCTTTCAATTTTGTAGGTGTTTTGATGGGTTTTTTCTAGATTCGAATCTCTAGGAATGTGAAGAAAGTTTCTGGAGGATTTGGGGAAGAAAGAGGGCTTCTGAAATGGGTGTTTAGAAGCCCTCTTTCGAAGGCTATTTTATTCGTATTTCCGGAACAGTGAATTTGTCGCGTATTGGCCGATACTCGGCTGAAACATAACGAAACAGGCCGATACCAGCCTGAAAAGCGTGCTATCCTCCCTCCCTTTGTATTTTCTCTCTTTGTATCCAATTCCTAATGGGATGGCTAAGTCTTTAGAGAGGAAGATGCAAAATTTTCTGTGGAGAGGCTGGAGGGAAGAGAAGAAAAATTTCATGTTGGTTAGCTCGTCTAAGATATGTAAATCCAAATCTCAAGGGGGCTTGGGTGTGAGAAGATTAAAGAACCTCAATTTTGTTTTACTGGGAAAGTGGTTTTGGAGATTTGGTGAGAATCAATCAAGGTGTTTGGAAAGGGATTGGGAAAATTCATGGTCTTTTTTCAAATGGAATTCTCTTTAGGGTCGGGAATAGGAGGTGAGTTCCTTTCTGGAAAGACATATGGTGTGATAATAGACCCTTGATGGTTACTTATCCTCTTTGAAGTAGCACTGGATAAAGATGCCCTTGTTTTAGACTATTTGCAGGTGCAGAATGGAAGCATTGTTTGGGCACCTATCTTCAGGTGAAATTTGAATGATTGGGAAGTGGAGTCTCTAGTGGTAATTATCAAAAAAAGTGGAGTCTCTAGTGGAACTGCTGCACCTGCTGTATAACACTCCAGTGGATACAGGGAAAGAGGATAGAAGAGTTTGGAAGTGGGAGAAGTCAGGGGTCTTCTCTGTTAGATCCTTTTACAACTATTTTTGCGGATCAGAGGATGAGCCAATCCCAGTTAATGTTGTGTGGTGTAAAGGTGTGCCCACAAAGGTGGCTTTTATTGTTTGGACAGCCTTCTTGAACAAGATTTTAACTAGGGATAATCAAGGTTCTAAATATCAATATAGGCAGGGCGTATCGGCCTGTATCGGTGCTTTTTTTGTGTTCTATTTTTTTTTTCAAAGCCGGTTCAGAGGGGTCAGTTTAAGTCCCGGGTACCCTCTGATCCATGGCCTGACCCAATACACTCCCTGTAGGGGCGTATCAGGCAGGCCCCGATACGATACATATCAGCCAATACGGACCAATATGTAATGATATTTTGAACCTTGGGGATAATCTTTAAAAAAAGGATATGCTGCTGGACACAACTGTTTGTGTGCTTTGCCAGAATCATACCGAGTCAGTCAACCATTTGCTACTGCACTGTAGTTTCTTCTGTGAGGTTTGGAATAAGGTCAGGAACTTGTATAAGGTGAACAGTTGTCACCCTGAATCAGTAGCAGATTTTGTGAAGAGTTGGAAAGTCAAAGGCCTCACTAAAGAGGGAAAGTTGGCTTGGAACCTGACTCCTGCTGCAGTTTTTTGGTCCATCTGGCAGGAGAAGAATGCAAGGATCTTCAAGAACCAACACAGCTCTTCAGACAGTGTTTCAGAAAGTTATGGGAAAAATGTTTTCTTGGTTAAGGACAGAAATTTTAGTTCCTTTTTTGCTGTTGGGAATCTTTTTGTAAATCAGGGTTTGGGTAATTTTTATGTAAATCCCTGTGTACAGCTCCTTGTTGTACATGTTTTTGTCTCTAATGAATATTTCACATTACCTGTTTCAAAAAAAATTTAAAAATGGGTTTGTTTTATCTTTGTACATAGTGCCATTCTTTTGAAATTAAGAAGTTGTACTTTATCTCCTCTTTCTCTCAAAAAAAAAAAAAAGAGTAAACATAAGGAAAAAAATGAAACAAAGATTTTATTCCAATGACAATCCCCCCAAAATTTTACTTTATGACTAGAAACAGGATCATACCTAATGTGCTTAAGGAAGAGATGAAATATAACCTCAATAGCTTTTTAGGGGATTTTCATAGTTACATTTGAACTAGAGCCCTTTGCCTTTTGTTGTAAAACTTAGCATTCATGCTGCAGGGGCATTATAGTCTTTTTCAGTATGCAACCTCTGCAGGAAGCACTTTTGATGATGGAACAGCAGAGACTGAGAAGAAATCTCCAATGCCAAAGAAATTGTAAAACTTAATTTTTATAACCATCAAAAGTGGAATTTGATGTTCAACCACAACCAAAAAATATATGGTCAGTGTCATTTTATTGAGATGGGAATTCTAATATCATCTGCCACAATGGCATATTTTCCATATGTGCAGCGATGGGGACAAGAATTCATGCTTGATTTTGATTTCTGATTTAATTTCAGCTATATTGCCTTTACTTAAATTTTGTTTTGATGTTTTTTTTTATAAAAATGAGCTTTCTCATTATATTCAGTCTTAGATTAAGAACAAATACATATTAGTGATCAATGCAAAGAACTTAAATAGAGTTCAAAGGGTTATTTCAATGGCTACTATACAAAAGGTCCTGAAATTTAGAGAATTCCAAATTAGTTTTCCAATTAACATTTAGAAATGATAGGAAGGAAATACAGAATAACAGAAGATGTTTTACTTAAAAACACTAAAAATCATAATTACCTCTAAGTAGATCATCCACTCAAATTCCTTTTTAAAGTTTTGTAATCATTCGTTTGTCAAAGAACAAAGTTTGATAGTGGTAGGCTTTTATATAACCATTTATGCTGTTCTTTTCCAATTCTGTTTGATTTACAGTGATGCATTTAATCTGACAACTAGAATAAAAGAAGAGTTCTTTAGTTTTATTTGTTTCAATATGGCATCTAGTCTTTCAGATGAGTTAACCAATCATATTAACACCAAATCTTCCTAGAATGCATACCAAAATGGTTTTGTTTGAATCAAGATTCTTATTAAATAGGAAGCTTGTATATAACTGGCAAGTAACCCAACCATAATGAATATGCTAACTATTCTTATTGCATAATACAAGAAAATCCCTCAGTATTTGCTTAATTTATAAGGAAGGTTGGTAGGCAGAACCATAGAAAACTGATTTATAAATTGGTACAAAATTGCAATTTGCCAATTCTGCAGCAATATAGGTGTAAACTACACTTAAACACAACTCAAATCAACTTAGCCTTAATGGCAAACATCCCACGTTTTTTTTTTTTTCTTTTTTGAGGAAAACATCACAACACCATACTTGAAACAATCTGCAACTAAGAAATTACCTGGTAGCTCTTCCAATAACCGCACCAGTTGCAAAATCTCTGAGAATCCAGTCACGTCTGGTCCCAATTCTTCCTTCACCTTGGCACCAAGTCTCAATCTCAACCACATCACCCCTATCCAGTATCCACAATTTCCGAAAATGAGATTCAATTATCATAAGTGTCAAAGTCTAGATCAACATTGTGAAACAATGGATATAAAGAACAAACCATGCAGGGTATTTATACACTTCGATGTGCATGCGAGCAGTCACCCATATGAGATGCAACTTTCTCATGGTAAGAGTTGTCGCAAATCCATCTGTAGAAAACCCAACACTCTGAGCATGATTGCATCCAACTTCCTACATACATGAGATAAAAAAGAGTAAATGTATAAAGGATAAAGAAAAAGTAACCAAGGCATTGAAAGAGAAACCAGAACAAATAGATGGTTCTTTTCTATCCCTTTGTCATAGACAAAAAGAAGATACTGGATGGAATTAGTTAGGACCATATGTCCACGTGTAACAAATTACATCTATTCTTGTTAAGTTAATTTTGATGCTCTGTTTTTGTATCTAAATATCTGAGAAAATACAGAATCAGTTACTTTTCCCTCATTTCTGGTGTGAATTTATATGTTATATGGTATTAGAGCTCAGGCGCTCCAACTCCTGTTTTCTTTTTTTTCCCCTTTCTTTCTTCGATTGGCAATGGCTGTGGGAGGAAACAGCAATGCCTCTGTCGCTGTATTATCTTCATCCGTCGTACTACCCTGGTGCGTTACTAGTCTCTTCTTTGCTCAACAGAGAAAACTATCCTACATGGAATGGAAGAGGGCAATGACGACGGCTCTCTGTGCCAAGAATAAGATCAGTTTCATGGATGGATCAATTCCAAAGTCAGATCGATCAAAATTAACAAAGATGCATGCTTGAATGAAATGTAATTCAACGTTGTCTCCTGAATCATTAATGCCATCAAAGATCAGCATGACAGTGTCGCTTATGTTGAAAATGCTCAGTAGACATGTGTCACGGGTGCTTCACCTCAAACAAGATCTCCCTTTGCTTCAACAAGAAAATCTCCCAGTCTCGATCTATTTCTCAAAGCAATCTGGGACAACTTTCAGTTTACATGATAGGACCTCTTTGCACTTGTGGAGCCATGAAGGACCTTCTAACTGAGAAAGAAAAAGAAAAAGTTTACTAGTTTCTATTGGGACTCAATGACAAGTACAACAACATACAATCAAACATCCTAAGCATGACCCATTACCAAATGTTAGCTAAGCCTATGCTCTCATCGCTCAAGAAGAGTGGCACCAAGCTCTCATCAGTCATCAGAAGTCAACAGTAGAAGCGGCAGCATTTTATGCAACTGGCGGTTCAAAGGGATCTTCAAAGAATACTAAAGATCAGTCTAAACTTCGTTGCGATCACTGCAAGAAACAAGGTCACACAAAGGACCGTTGTTACAAACTAGTCAGTTACCCACCGAATTGGGAAGCAAGGGGGATATCTAGGCGAACTTCTGGCAACCAAGACAAATCTGCTGCTACTACTTCATCACAAGTTGTCTCTTCAATTTCAAAACTCTTGACGACAGAGCAATATCAGTAGCTCTTGAATCTTCTCAACAATGAGAAACAATTCTCATCTGCCAATTAAGCAGGTACAGTTTCTTCCACCACTTGGTTATTAGATGAAGGGGCTTCAGATCACATGGTCCCTGTTGGATCCTTTCCCCCATTGGCTACAGACACCCGGTCACTAAAACTGGTACAATTGCCAAATGGTGCTTATCTACCAGTACAACAAGGAAACATTGCTCTCTCACAGGATCTGCTACTAAAGGATACACTCTTTATGTCTGATTTTCGTTGCAACCTTATTATTTCAATCAGCAAGTTAATAACAGATCTCAACTATGTTGCTTTATTTTTTTCAACCTTTTGTGTGCTTCAGGACCTGACCTCCAAAAAACTGATTGGGGTGGGCCTGGTGCATGATGGACTCTATCATTTTTCTACAGTATCATCACCCAGTTCAGCTACTTTACATTCTTCTAGATTGGATAACCCCTAGCTATGGCACACTCGGTTGGGGCATTTTGCTTATGATAAACTTTCCTTAATATCTAGTTTACGTATTTCTGTACCTGACAATGCTTGTTATGATGCATTTCTAAAGGCAAAACAGACTAGGTTACCTTTTCCTTTACATGCAACTAGGTCAAATGCTATGTTTGCTATTGTTCATTGTGATTTTTTTTTGGGGGGGTGGGGGGTTACCACACCCCTTCTCACTCCGGTGCTTGATGTTTCTTGACTGYGGTTGATGATTACACAAAAACAACTTTGGTACACCATGAAATGTAAGTCTGAAGCTTATTCTTCTTTTGTGATGTTTTGTGCAATGGTGCAAACCAATTTAATACCTATATCAAATGTGTATGCTCAGACAATGGTTCTGAGTTTCTTTCCAGGCCCATGCAACATTATCTGACTGCTAATGGCATATCTCATCAGCGATCTTGCGTTGACATTCCTCAACAAAATGGAGTAGTCAAATGCAAGCATCACCACCTTCTCAAAGTTGCATGGGCTTTACGTTTTCAGGCTCATCTGCCAATTTCTTATGGGGGAGTGTATTTTAACAGCAACCTATCTTATAAACTACTTGCCGCCCCCAGTATTTTTAGGGCAAAACAGCATTTGAATTCTTATTTCACAAACAACCCGATTACAATCACTTGAGGGTGTTTGACTGTCTCTGCTATGCAAACACATTGAGAATCCACTAAAGGTCACCCACAAATTAAACCTAGTCTTCAACATGGTAAACTTTTGATTCTCCCAAACAAAAACTAAACAATAAGTCAATAATCCAAATTTGTTAAACAAATAAAAAGTCGRATTCCCCTTTTCTTGATAACTAACTAAAGCCGAACCCAATGGTTAAATTTCAAGTGAGTTTCAATTTGTCATATAAACATCAGGAAATTCCTCTTAGAGAACCCAAGTGAGCTTCAAGCAAAACCCATGATTTATAATTCCAAATGATTTAACATTTTGAAGGTTTAAAAACAGGCAACCTAAATGACCAACATAATTAAGAAGAAGTCTGCTAGATCTATCACCAAACAAAGATAAAGTTCCACATTTGAAATTTGCTGCAGGTATTCCATACTAAATAATCCATCAGAGCAAAACACAGTTACTCCAACCAACATGCTAACTAAAAAAGCAAACAGAACAAAACACAAATATGAAAAAGAACAGTAGTATAGCAGCCAGTCGAGACAGAAAACGATAAAACGGTTCTGAGAACCAGTCAGATTGACAGATAAACCCAAAAGAAAGTCTGAAGAGTTACAATAGAGCTTAAATAAACCACAGAAGACTACAGAGAAGACAGATGGAATTCAAGATTACCTGCAACAGATTGGCAATTGTTTCAACTGTAGCAGTTTTATTAATGCCGACCTCATATGACCTCACTATGAACTTTTCCTTGTACGACAGCCCATCTTCAGTCAAGCTCCCAAGCCGAAGCCGGTCCGCGAAGCTGACCACGGCGGACCCGTTTGCTGCTGCGCTCGTACCGGCTATAGACTCAGAAACAGAGAGATCAGGGGCTCGAGAGGAAGACAGCGGACGAGAAACCGAAGACGAGGAGGAGGAACAGCAGGAGACGGAAGCTAGTCCTCGACGCGTTGGATTAAAAGCTTTGGGAGGGGARACAAATCGGCATTGAGATAGTAATTGGAGCTGATCCGCTGCAATGCATGCCTTCAACATTTTCTTCTTCCCCTTCTCTTCTCTCCTCTCTCGATCTCGTTAGCCACGGAAGGAAATTTGAAGCCTCTCTCTCTCTCTCCCAATGACTGTGCTCAGCACTTTTAGCTCACGTGATCGATAGAACCGAGGCCTTGCAAAGAAAAGGGCCGTGATTTTGGACAGGTTTTCGAGATTGCCATCGATTGCTGCCAACAAGACACGTTGCAAGATTATGATTTGATACCGCAAATCTCACACCATGAGACTGGGACTCGCCATGTATGAGATGTGCGGTGTGGGAAGGGGTTGGAATTAATATATTGTGTTGGGTTGGCAGGTAATTCCAGTGGGAGTAGGGTAGTTGGAATTAATGTATTATTCATTTCTAAAAATTATAAAAAATAAATAAATATTATATAATATATTTTAAAAATAGTTATTAAAGAAGAAATTTCAATTGCTTTATGAATATGATAGATGATTCATAGAATCATAATATATTCAATTATTGTGATCAAATAATAAAATATAATTAATTATTTTTTAATTCTAAAAATATAAAAATAAAAAWTAATTATTAAAGAAAAAATTTCAATTGGTCTGTGAATATGATAAATCATCCATAGAATTATAATATATTCAATTGTTGTGATCAAATGATAATTAATTATTATTTATTTTTTAATTTGGGGCCTTCCTCCGCAAGCCATCAGGTAACATTGTCGTGTAGCTCTCTAGTCTCCACATGACATGCCTACTCCGTATGGGTTAGAGAACTTAATCGCTAAGTGATGCAAGGAAACCAAGGCCCATAGTGCATTTAGGGTTGACAGGGCGAGAATGGCGTTGTAGGATGAGAGGACTCGGACAATGATGAAGTCAACTACCGTCGTGGTGGTGATGTCACCACCCCCGATCAGAAGAGGAAGGGTGATCTTCCCTTTGGGCATGAGGGGCTCTTTGGAGAAGCCTACCAAGGGAGTGTTGACCAGGGTGAAGCAATCCTTGCCGATGTCAAGCTATTCGAAGGCCTCCACTTGCACTTTGGTGCAATCGGGTACAAGCCAGAGTCCCATACTTTCTATTTGTTTCTCAAATACTTTCTGTATTAGTGGCTTAGTTAATGGGTTTGTTACATTTTCCGTTGATGCTACTTTCTGAATCAGGACGTCCCCTCTTCCAACTATCTCCCGCAGTACATGGTACTTTCTCTCTATGTGCTTCGACTTCGAGTGGACTCATGGCTCCTTAGCCTGAGCAATGTACATGGTACTTCCTCTTGTATGGATGGCCGAACCCTGCAAGAAGGTTGGGTGAAATTTCAAAAATTTCTCTCTCTTTCATCTGGGAACCTATATTTAGAAAACTGCATTTTCAAAGATCAATCTTGAACCAAACTGGACCACATCTGAAACCAAAAGGGAGGAGAGGGATATACCAGATAYGAAGTAGCAGTAACTCCCAATGACGGTATTCACGCCCAAGGAGAAAACCAAAACCCGCTTCCACTGAAAATGACACACTGTGTGGTGAAACAGGATCAATAGGACGGCTCTTCAGCAAGAATGGAGTAGAGGGCTGGTGAGCATGACTTCGGATTGCTTCTTCTACCAAGAAACAATATCAAAAATAATTCTTGATCACTCCCACAATTGGAGATCGAACAGGGTAGGAACGGAAAGAACAGGGAAGAACTATGCAGACTACTGTAATTAATCTAATTAACCCAATTTGAATTGGGCTTTAAGCCTATTAAGTTTATGTGCTCACTTAACCTCATAACCTGCTGCCCATTTGGCTCTCTTTGTATGGAGTGGGACCCAAACATTGATCTACACATCAGCTACATGGGTTCAGCCCAACACTGGCTAATTCACTGTAGAGGACAGTGAACCCCTGAGTCCATCACCATGGCTCTTAATGGGCCTAACATTTACACTAAATGGTCATTCGGTCCAGCCACTTTATGAAAACCCAAGGACTATGGGCAGATGAAAGATTAGCCCATCAGGTATTACCCTCAATGACCTTACACTTAACCTCTCAACCCATATTGATCAAACACTGCCTGACAAGAGAGGATATTTCCCTCGACTACAAGGAACAGTGTTGCACACTCTACTCACATGGATCCTGAGAATTAAAACCTTTTGCAAACATTTTGAAACCATAAAATATATATGTATATCTTTATATAAATATATTTTGCAAAAACAAATTTCAACAATTAAAATCAATTTCCGACAGTTTAGGTTTCCATCAGAGAGAGTGCATCCCCGATCATTCACTTTGTTCGACAAAGGGGTTGATCCTGTCACTATGATCACCCACTTAGATGAATTCTCGGATTGTCCCAACATATCTAGGTTTTGACCCCCTCTTAGGATCTCACTGATTGGCATATCAAAGACAGTCTGATCCGACACCTAGTGCAATACAATAATCGAATCTAGGGGTCAGGTGTGACATTCTAGTTTTGCTCATCTATCTCCAAGGTCCAGGGAAATACTGGAATTTTGGTCTGGTTCAGGGTTTCAAGAAAAACCCACACTACATATACCTCAGATCTCACCTTGGAAACTAAGATAAGCCACCCCAACCAACTTAGCGGCACATCAGTGTCAGCCTTGGCAGGATAAATCTCCCAAGATCTATCCAACAACTGTGAAGATTCTAAACTAACACGATTCTCATGAGTGTCCAGTTTATGGGTATTACATGGAAACACACCACAATTACTTGAATCAATTATGTACTTTATTCATTTACAACAAATGTCAAAAGGTACATCAATCTGATTGGGGATAAGGGCATAACTGTCTAACAGGTAGACCTTCTAGGTTGAGTATCTAGAGCTTGTGGGACATCTCCCACTACTCTTGGGCTCTCCTCATCAAGAACAACTTCTTGCTGAAGATTCTACAGGATGTAATCTTCTTCTAAGAAACAKGCATTTCGATTGCAAAACACATTTTGTTCTTTCGGATCATAGTATACGTAACCTACAAAGCCTTTGGGGTAAATTATAAATAGGCAACAACTAGTCTTAAATTCCAATTTGAGAGCACTAGTTCTTTTAACATGTTCCGGATAACCCCAAATTTTCAAGTGTCTCACACTTGGTTTCTTACCGGTCCAAAGCTCATATGGAGTCTTTGGAACAGATTTGGTTGGAACTCGGTTCAACACGTAAATCGTAGTCTCCAATGCGTATCCCCAAAAAATGTAGGTAATTTTGAGTAGATGAGACATGATCGGACCATATCTAATAGGGTCCGGTTCCTCATCTCTGACACACTGTTTAACTGTGGTGTAGTGGGAGGGGCGAATTGTGATACTATCCCATTGTCCTTTAAGTAGTCTCTGAATTTGTCAGAGAGATACTCACCACCTCGATCTGATCGAAGGGCTTTAATTTCTCTCCCTAACTGTTTCTCGACTTCTTGTCTGAACTCATTGAACTTTTCAAAGGATTCAGACTTATGCCTCGTTAGGTACATGTAACCATACCGAGAATAACCATCGGTAAAAGTTATGAAATAGATGTGTTAATTACGTGTCTTAACATTCATGGGACCACCTACTTCAGTATGTATCAGGTCAAGTGTTCCTGTAGATCTTTCAGGCTTACCGGTAAATGGCCCTTTCGTCATCTTACCTTGAAGGCAAGGTTCACAGGTTGGAAGATCTTCTGCAATTAGAAAATCCAAAGGACCATYATTTACCAACATTGTGATATGATATATGTTAATGTGGCCAAGTCGGTAATGCCACAGGCACAGGGGACTAACTATATCACGTATTCTTTTCTTGGGAATTATTTCCGACGTAGTTTCGGTAATGTTGGTGTCTAGAGAGGGATGGAGAACATAGAGACCATTCTCAAGTTCTCCATATGCTAGAAACTTGTTATTTCGTTTAATAGCAATCACATTACTAAATAGAATTGAATAACCATCCATGCACAACTTTGAAAAAGAAATGAAATTTCTTCTTAAATTAGGTACGAAAAGACAATCTTTCAGTATAATAATCCATTCTCAGAATACTAATTCTACAGTGCCTATGGCCGTAGCTGCAACAGTTGCAGAAGTCCTCAAGTAAAGTGTCACTTCTCCATCACTCAGTCTTCTGCTTATCTTGAACCCCTACAATGAGTTACACGCATGAATCGAAGCCTCGGAGTCAATACACAAGGAAGTAGAAGTGACCAATAGATTGGTCTTTATGATGAAAGAATCGAACATACCTTGTTTCTTAGTCTCCATGTATTGAGGACAATTCTTCTTCTAGTGGCCGGTCTGCTTGCAAAAGTGACAGCCATCCGATGACTTGTCTTTCTTCTGCTTTTTGGTTTTGCTACCCTTCTTCTGAGCCTTCCTTTTAGCCTTTCACTTTTTCTTGCTCGATTTGCCACGTTCAACAAGCATGGCTATCGGCTTATCCTTCTTAATCAGTTTTCAGCCCTCTACAACATATTGTTGAGTTTTTTAAGGCTAACGTTTAGCTTATTCATATTGTAATTCATGATAAAATGATTAAAGGACGGAGGCAAGGAATTAAGAACATCATCAATTTTGGTGTCATGATCTAGCCCTGACCCGAGAGCCTCCAGTTCATTGATATAACCCATCATCTTTAGACAATGGTCATGAACTTGTTGGTTCTCGGTCATCTGTGCGGTCATAAACAATTTTAAGACATTTTGTCAAGTAGAACAATTCTGCTCTTCATACATAGTTTTCCAACTATCCAATATATCTTTGGACACTTCGATCTTATTAAATTGTCGTTGTATCGTATTGTCTAAAGAGGCTATAATATAACACCGGGCAAGAGAATTTTTCTCTTCCTATTCTTGATACTCTCTCCTTCGGGCCTCAGAAGCCTTGTCACCTGGACGATCCGGAGCAGGGTTCTTATCAATTTTGTCCAATTTCTTAGACATTAGAACCATCATAAGGTTTCGGAACTAGTCAACATAATTAAGGCTCTAGAGTATGTTATCATCCAACAACTTGGTGAAGTTTCCGTTTGCCATTTCTGGTACAAGCAAAGAAGATTTATAAGTCCACAACYTAAATTGATTCATTTCATCACATAGAAAGGGATT